AACTAATCCTAATATAGAATTATATAATATTAAAAATTAAAATGAGTAGTTAACATATTTAAATAAAAAAAACTTTGATGTTATAATGAAAATGAAAGTATTATATAAAAAAATCCAAATTCTCTGCAATTGATTTTACATACGATATCTTTAAGATTATTTAGAATCTTCTAGATGTTTGTTAGGCACTTGACACATATTTTGTATATAAAATTGAACCAATGAGAACACTAACCTTCCGCTCGGCTTTTTTTGTGTGTAAAAATCAAGCAAAAAAACCAAACCCAAACTTACGTATTGTTATTGTTTCGTCGAGTTAGTATTTATACAATTTTTAATGCTTATAAATATTTACTTTTACAAACCGAAAAAACCGAAGTAAAAACCGCATAAAACCGAACCGAATAACCAACGGTTTGCATATTTTTTATGCAAAACCGAACCGAACCGAACCGCCAACTTTTTGGGCAAAAACCGAACCGAGGCACCGCGGAAGACCCCTGGCGTAAGAACCGGATAGAGCCTCCTTCTTTGATACCATCTCTAATTCCTCAAATCCTACTCCTAATTGAAGACTTGGAGACTTAAAATTGAGCAACTATAAAAGGAGAAGAGGACTTGCATCAAAAGGGGGGCGGATATACGGAAAGAAATAGACGGAGATTGAAGCAGAGATTGTGAATAGAGACGTGCCGGCCTAGGGTTTCGACCCTAGGTCGGCAATGACTACTCCGGCGACACAAGGCATGGCAGCTATGGAGGAAGGCAGTGGCGTCTCTTCTCTGGCTTCAAATTGACGAAGCAACAGAAGAAAACACAGGGGAGAAGCTTTCTTCCTTTTTAATTTCTTTACTTTTAATTAGACATTCTTAGTTATAAATTTCTCAATTCATGACTTTGGTTGTCCAACACTTAATAATCCGTATATGTTTATTGTTTATGTTTAATTTCTATTCATTTTTATTAAATGCTTAAGTTATATTATAAGTGTTGAATTGTTTGTGTGTTGATGTTGAATTGTTCAAAGTTGAATTATTGATTTATTATTGTCTCTGAAATTATAAAACCTTTTTAGGCTAAATTGTTTGACAAAAAAATTGAATCTTTGTTTGTTGAATTAATTTGACTTTGAAGAAATTTTAGCTCTACGCTACTATTAAATCTAAACTCAAAAAGGTGTTCTGAGAACTATTATTCACCAGATTTTACTTAAATTGGACTAAGTTAGGAGCGCGCGCCTAATCCAATTTAAATTGATATTCTTTTAAATTCCAAAGTGTTTTAAATAGCCGAACGTTTCTTGAAGTTCCGTAAGAGAATAACAAGGTTTAGAAAATGTTATGGAATTCAGCGATTACATCAATGCTAAATGGATGTTTGACTCAATCGTTAACAATATGAATTTTGAAATAAAATTAGTAGAACGATTAGGCTATGAAGAATATGGTTAGGCTTGAGGAAATACCATTGGATATCGTAATAGCATCATTTGATACGTATAGGGGTATAAATTGCACATGTGAATGAACAAGTTGGGAAACACCTAGACTACAATTAGATGATTACATGAAAACGTAAATCCATGTCTAAATATGTGTTTTACATGTATGAATGAATGTGTATTTGTTATTTTATATGCTCAACTACTTGGGATAATCTACATTGAATCCGTATGATCGTAGTTTTCTTGTTATAAAGATATATGGTATGAAACTCGTAAAAAGAAATCATCTAGGAATTCGTTGGAATGAGTAGGCACTACATATGTAGATATATTTGTAAATCTTAAATGTTCATTAAAATCTTCAAAAGGTTGAACGTAATTTGACAGACCAGAGTAGAACCCGAGTATTGTGATTATAGATAATCAAGTTCTGATAATCTACTATCTGGTGCTGCTGAACTTTGATAATTGATTATCACTAAGTGATAATCGGTTATCAAGGGCTGCTGAAATTTGATAATAGATTATCACCAAGTGATAATCGATTATCAAGGGCTGCTGAACTTTGATAATCGATTATCACTTGGTGATAATCGATTATCAGGGACTGCTGAACTTTGATAATCGATTATCACCACTTGATAATCGATTATCAGGTAGTGCAGGACTTTGAGCAAGGTCTGAAATCAAAGTGTTTTCAAGGTTAGAATCAAAAATTGAAATGTTGGTATGTGGACTAGAAACCAAGACTTAGTTTTCAAAATAAGGTCTTCCAGGTCATAAGTCACGCATGATATAGGAATGATTCATATCATGGAATTAAGTCACGCATGTTGTAGATGCATGATATAGGATTCATCCGTGTTATATTTATGTCCCAACGCTAGAGGGGGTGTTGAATAGCGTTTGAAACGAAATATCGCCAGAATAAAAAAAATTAAGAACCTTAAAAGTAAAGAGTGTGAAAAGCGTAAAGGGAGCACACAAGATTTACCCTGGTTCACCACAACGTGTGGCTAGTCCAGCCTCTCGAGAGACTCTCTCCAGCTACACTACTTCCGTTAATCTTATGGGTGCTTAACAAACCGTTTCGACCTGAGAACTGGAGTCCCACGAGCCTCAAAACACTTGCTTGGAGATACCGCACTCCAAGACTTCAACTCGAAGGAAAATATCTTTCCTTCGTACAACCAAGGGAAACAAGCTTCCCTTAAAGTGTGTAAAACACTAAGACACTCAAGAACAAAGCTCTCTCAAGAGAGTGGATAATGAGCAAAGTAATATGCTCAAGAACACAACAAAAACTTCACACAAATGGCTCTCAAAAGCTATAAAAAATGTAATGATGGATTGCAATGAAGAAATATAAATTGTGAAGTTGTTGGATGAGAAAAGCAGACCCAAATACCCCATTTCATAGTAGAAAAATAGGCTTCAATGTGTGGGGGTTGGTTGATGGTGATTGGCATAATTTGTGGGATTTGATTAAAATTGGATCTGCTGAAAAAATGCCCGACAGCGTTGTTCATCACTTGAACATCGCTGTTGAGGCTTAAACTTTTGAATTGGAAGCTTCAACGGTCATGCCAACAACGATGTAGAAAAGGTGAACATCGCTGTTAAATGTGTTGAGTCCCAAACATGGAAAGTTTTAGCCTTTAATTTCTTCCAGCGGTCACGTGCCTACATCGATGTTCATAAGTGAACATCGATGTTCAGGCTTAACCTTCCAAAGAAGAAATTGGCTTGACATCAATGTTGTTGGGCCAACATCGCTGTTCAAAAGCTTTCTGCCAAAAACATTTTCTCTTGGCTTGAGTTGAACATCGTTGTAGAGTACCCTACATCATTGTTCAAAAAGCTTTTAGAATTTCAGCCTTGGCTCAACAGCGATGTACAATACCCAACATCGCTGTTGGAGGACTTAGCGCCAAACCATGGTTTTCAGGTGCCAACACCAAAAAGCGTTGTTGGTCACTCCAACATCGCTGTTGTAGCGCCCCGAAAATAGGCCTATCAGAATTAACTAATTGATAATTAATTAATTACTGAGAAGGACCCAAAAATAAGTGATTTATAAAGTTTTTTCAATAAATAATGAAAATTATATTGTTATGTAGAGTTTGACTGTCTGACCGCAACAGTGCAATCAGATTTTAATTCGGGGAAAGTTGGACCAAAAAGTATACCCCGACTTAGACAAAAAATCAATCCCAATCAAGGAATCAAACAAACGGCGGCTACTGTGCAAACGGTGCACTAGCCAATTATCAGATTCTAAAGATTCACGGCAATCACCCTCCCATGTCTTCTTCCTTTTTTGCCACTATATAAGAGGAACCCATCTTCCTCATTTCTTCACCAAATTATACAATACTTCCTTCTATTTTGTTGCTCTGAGTGAGGAGAACACACTGGTGTTGTTAGTGTTGTGAGAGGTCGCTGGAGTTGAGAGCTATTATTGCCGAAAATTTCGTCGAAATTTTCCAAAACCTCATATAAGCTTTGAGGTAAGCCCGCAGATATATCTAATGACTAAAATGTTCATATAGGTCGTGATGGGTATATCCTTATACCCGACCCGGATAATTGAGAGGGACATGTCAAAATATGACCGGTCACTTTTATCAATCACCAAATGAGGTTAACTCTTCGATTGGGACGGGTCAAAAATTGATCGGTCGCTTCCACTAAAAAAGTGACCGGTCACATTTTGGGGGATAGCCAAAATAACACCTAATGTGGCAAATAATTCAAGAAGACCAAAGAGACGGGCTGAGCTCAAGAAATGACCGGTCAACCTTTGAGAAAAAGGTGACCGGTCATATCATCTTACTTGACAAACATTGGTCAAGTATCTCAGGCATGGTAAACCATGTCAAAGATCGAGGGACCACCCCGCCGTTCGTCCATCACGAGACAAACAGTGAAAGGGATGTTTGTCACCTTGCAGGGCTTATTGGATTGAGAATATCCATTTATACTCTTTGATTGAACAGTGCTTCTTGGTTGTATTAGTAGCAAGTCTATGATTGAACAGTGATTAGATTATGTACAGTGACCTTCCTCCGGGTTTCCTATTTTGTCCATGGGTGAACAGGGGAAGGTCACAAATCCTCCTCTATAAATATGATGATATTGGATAGAGGATGGGATCCAATTTTCTCTCACTAAAGTTCACTCTTGAGATAGAGTAAGAAATATAATTCGGACTGAGGAGATTTACCCGGCCTAGGTCATACTTTGTGTTCTTGTTGTGTGTATTTTATTGACGGGTCGAGCGTATCCAGGTCAAACCCGGTTATCCCACCCATCTATATTTACACCATCATTTTTGGCGCCGACCGTGGGACCAATTTTTAAAGTTTTTTCGACCAGGTGAAAACTTTACCCCCACTAAATATTTGCAATCATGTCTTCAAGCAACCACAATATTGTGTCAAGTCAGGCTGCGAGTGAAAGCACTCCTGCCATCCCATTGATGATGACGAGCATGGGGACGACCTTTGCCCCGATCACCACGGTAGGATCAATTGGCATGATCCCAATCATGTCAACCCCTACTCCTACGCCAACGACAACAATGTTCCCAGGCTCGATAACAACGCCTGGGGGAGCATTCACACCATACCCGTCAGCTTGGGCACAATTTGCTGCTGACCCGGCAAATGCTCAGGCTCTACAGGGCTATCAACAGGTGATGGCCATGATGCTCAGGCTCTACAGGGCCATCATGCCATTTGCCTATCCTGGCATGATGCCACCGATCATGCCAGCCCCGGTGTCGACTCCATCAACATTCGTTCCGAGGATGGTCCCTGTGCGCCCGGTGAATTTGAAAGGGATTATGAATGAGGCAGCGCCCTCAAATGTGCATGAGGTCGATGAGGCGGAGCAAGAGGTGGCCCGAAGAAGGAAGGGTAAGGCTATAGCCAAGCCCAGGAAAACTCGGGATTCAACGTTCAAACGCCTAGGGGACAAGGAAGATGGACCCCGCAAGTCTGCCAAGCTACGTCTTGGTCCTGAGATGGGCCGGACTAGCGCAATGGAAAGACTTGGCGGGAGTTGTCACGCCCAATCTCGTCGTTCTAGGGAATCTGAGACGATTCACCAAGACGAGGAGGAAGCAGAAAGCCAGCCCAGAGCTTCGACATATACCAGGCTCTCATACAATGAGGATGACCTGGACAAGATAGGGAGCGTAGCAAGAAAGCTATGTGCCCTGGAGGAAAAGGTGGAAGAGAAGGCGGGAGCGAAAAAGCACACCCTGGCTAAATCTCCCTTTTCGGCTAGGGTACATGCGCAGAAGTTGAGACGGAAGATTAAGCTCGACGTGGAGAAATTCACAGGAAAGGAGGATCCAAACGTCCACCTTGACACCTTCCACAATGCAGCACAGATGGCCGGGTGCACTGATGCTGAGGAATGCCTACTCTTCTTCTCATCCTTGAGAGGGAGGCCAGTGGAATGGTTTAACGGCCATCCCCATGGCAGGATTGGGTCCTTTGAGAAACTTGCCAAAGTTTTCTGCAAGAAGTATCAGGACAACTGCATCAAGAGGAAGAAGTTCACCTACCTTAACATGGTAGGGCAGAAGGAGAAGGAGTCCTTGACTCAATTCTTGACCCGCTAGAGGGACGAGGTCGATAAGGTAGAAGAGATGGACGACAAGACAGCCATGTCTTTGCTGATGAATGCCTTCCGGTCGGGTGACCTCTACACCGAATTCTGTAGGAGGCCACCCTCCTCTTACCAAGAAGCCTACAATACGGCATGAGAGTATGCCGAGGCGGAGGTCTTGAATAAAAGAAAGCAGGAATTGGAGGAAGGATACAAAGGTGAAAACCAACAAGCCGAAGAAAGACGACCAGACGGGAGGGTCCAAACCAAAGGCCACGTATGACGGGTCTGTCCATCAAATAAGGGGCGAGAAGAAAGGAGAACAACCCAAGCGGCCTTGGACAGAGAAGTGGTGTACCTACCACCAATCCGACTCCCACAATACGGCGGATTGCCGAAATGTCAAGGCTGTGCTCAAGGAGATGGCCTTGAAGGGAGAGCTTGGGGAAGGTTATGCGACGGGAAACAAGAAAGATCCGAAAGCTAACACCTGGACCCGTCCTCAAGAAAAGGATCAAGGAAGGAGGAAAGGCAGGGATAACAACAAGCCGGATAAAGAATTCATAGAGATGATTGTCGGCGGCCTAGATGGCGGGGACACTGCCTCCCAGCGGAAGAACTGGGCCAGGAGCTTGCACGTAGTGGTGATTTCCCTGGAATCACAAGGGAAGCAGGCAAGGAGGGAACCTATCACTTTCATTGATAGGGATCTGCCCAGGACGGGGGGAGATCATAATGACCCTTTGGTCATTACAATGGACATCAATGGAGCTAATGTGGCCAGGGTCCTTGTTGACACAGGAAGTAGTGTCAATGTTCTATACTTGAACGCTTTCATGAAATTGAAACTGGACAGGTCCATGTTGAGGCCATTGCAAACTCCATTGTCAGGCTTCACTGGAGCTAGCATAGAAGTGGAAGGTCCGATCACCTTACCGGTTACCTTGGGGTCGGGTAACAGGACAGTGACCAAACAAATGAGATTTGTTGTGGTCGATATCAAGTGTGTGCATAATGCCATTCTGGGTAGGCCTGGAATCAACCAGGCCAGGGCCATCATATCTGTGGCACACTTATGCATGAACTTCTATACTCCCAATGGGATCGGGGAGGAAAGAGGTGATCAGAAGAATGCACGGTCCTATTACCTAGAAGCGGTCAAGAAGATGACCCGCCAATTTGAGCAAGTTGAGTTAGTCTCCCAGCAGGTGGACAAGGGTGAGGAGAAGGCCAGGATCGAGCCGGATGCAAATACGGAGGAGATCCAGATTGACATCTCTAATCAAGAGAGGAAGGTCAGGATCGGGGATGATCTTCAAGAAGAGCTAAGGACTGAGATTGTCCAGGTGCTGACCAGGTATAAATCATTATTTGCCTGGAGTGTTGCTGATATGCCCGGAATTGACCGGTCAGTCATTTGCCATCGTCTCTCTGTTCTTGAGGGGTCTAGGTCCGTAAGGCAGAAAAAGAGATTCTTGGCAAGTGAACGGAGGGATTTTGTGAAGAAGGAGGTCAAGGACCTACTTGAGGTAGGTCATATCAGGGAAGTAAACTACCCTGAATGGCTGGCCAATGTTGTCTTGGCCCCGAAGGGTGATACCTAGAGAATGTGTGTGGACTACACAGACCTCAACAAAGCATGTCCGATGGATCCTTACCCTCTCCCTAGCCCGGACCAAATGGTTGATAAAACCGCCATGTGTGAGCTGCTTAGTTTCATGGATGCCTTTAAAGGGTATCATCAAATCTTCATGGCGGAAGATGATGAGGAGAAGACGGCCTTCCTCACCCCAGACGGGACATACTATTACAGGGTGATGGCCTTCGGGTTGAAAAACTCAGGGGCCACCTACCAGATGATGGTCAACAAATTGTTTAGGCCTTTGTTTGGACGGATCATGGAGGCCTACGTGGATGATATGCTTGTGAAGAGTAGAGCAGCCAGCACACATGCTCAGGACCTGGAAAAATGTTTTGAGGTTGGGCAACAAAAGGATGAACGAACGAACAGCTTTTCGCGTGAACTTCTCCTCTTCAACCTTCCCGTCAATTCGCACGAATCACCTCCTTGAGCTACTATGGCCTGGCCGAAAATGCAAGGGGAAGAGGGAGAGGGTGTGTGAATGCCTTGGGAGTTACAAAATGCTAAGGAAAGGGATTGGAATGGGTTTAAATTGAAAGAGAAGAGTAATGGGGATTTATGAGAGATAAATGGAGAAAATAATGATGGGGGTTATGGAAAATGAGGAGTGTAGTGGCGTGTGGTTTGAATGGGAGTTATCTCCCTAAATTCCACTCCGTTGTATAAAATCTTACCTGATCGGTACGGGGTATTTTCCCCGAACGGGTCCGAATTGAGATTCGTTTACGTTTTTGGAATCAGACAGTCAAAACGAATATTATGACATAATCAATTAATTTTTCTAAGGATTTTATTTTCCAAACCCCGGTCCGAGTTAGTAATTAATTAATTAGATTAATCAATTCTAATAGACTGGGTTGCAGGGCGTTACAGTTATCCACCCCTTAAGAAAATTTCGTCCTCGAAATTTACCTGATCACTGGTAACTGAAAAGATGGGGATAACGGGTGCGCATGGATTCCTCCGTTTCCCATGTCGCCTCCTCAACGGTGTGACTTCTCCACAGAACCTTGACCAACGGAATGGTTTTGTTCCTCAACTGGCAGATCTCCCGAGCCAAAATCTCAACCGGCTCCTCCTCATATGTAAGGTTCTCGTCGAGAGTGATCGTATCCGCTGGGATCACGTGTGAAGGGTCTGACCGGTACCTTCGGAGCATAGACATGTGGAATACATTATGAATCCTGCTCAACTCAAATGGTAATTCGAGCCTGTAGGCTACAGGTCCCACACGTTCAGTGATTGGGTATGGGCCTATAAACCTCGGACTAAGTTTTCCCTTCTTGCCGAAACGCAAAACATTCTTCCAAGGAGATACCTTCAAGAAAACCTTATCTCCCACCACATACTCGATATCGCGTCTCTTAAGGTCGGCGTAGGACTTTTGTCGGTCCGATGCCACCTTAAGCCGGTCCTTAATTACCTAGACCTTCTCCTCGGTTTCACGAACTAGATCTGGTCCTTCCAACTTCCTCTCGCTAAGCTCCGTCCAGCAAGTAGGAGTCCGGCACGGCCTACCGTACAAAGCCTCGTACAGTGCCATACTGATGCTAGCCTGATAGCTGTTGTTGTATGCGAACTCCATCAATGGTAGATATCGCTCCAACCATCCCCGAAGTCGATCGCACAGGCGCACATCATATGCTCGAGGATCTGGATAACCCTCTCGGATTGACCGTCTGTCTGTGGGTGGAAAGCCGTACTGAAGTGAAGATCAGAGCCCAAGGCTTTCTGTAGGCTCTTCCAGAATTGTGACGTGAAACGCGGGTCACGATCTGAAATGATAGATGAGGGAACTCCATGTAACCGGATGATCTCGCGGATGTATAGCTCCGCCAGACGCTGTAAAGAGAAATCTCGTCGTATCGGAAGGAAATGGGCGGACTTAGTCAAACGGTCCACAATGACCCAAACTGTATCGTTCTTGCGAGGCAACAAAGGTAGCCCCACTACAAAGTCCATGGTGATACGATCCCACTTCCACTCGGGAATCGTAATCTGCTGAAGTAGTCTGCTCGGTACCTGGTGCTCAGCCTTAACCTGCTGGCATGTCAAGCATCGTGTTGTAAACTCTGTGATCTCTCTCTTCATCGCAGGCCACCAGTAATGCTTTCGGAGATCCTGGAACATCTTGTTACTACCGGGGTGCATGGTATATACCGTACCATGTGCTTCATGGAGGAGACGTTCCCTTACCTCCCCCACTGGCACTACCACACGTGCCCGATACAACAAGACACCATCCTCACGGACAGAGAAGTCGGGTTTCTCGCCCCGAGAGGCGAGCTCACAGGTCTGCCTGCAGAAATCGTCGCTGCTCTGTGTCGTCACAATCTCATGCAACAATGTAGGCTGAACTTCGAGTACGGCTAGAGTTTTGCGACTAAGAGCATCAGCCACCACATTTGCCTTACCAGGGTGATAAGCGATATGATAGTCGTAGTCCTTAATCAACTCCAACCATCTCCGCTGTCGTAGATTCAAATCCTTCTGACTCAAGAGATACTGCAGACTTTTATGATCGGTGAAGATACGCGTCGTCTCGACGTACAGATAGTGCCTCCAAATCTTGAGAGCGAGAACGATCGCCGCCAACTCTAGATCGTGTGTTAGGTAGTTGCACTCGTGCGGCTTCAACTGCCGAGACACATAAGCTACAACCTTACCCTCCTTCATAAGAACACACCCTAGGCCATTGTGTGAAGCGTCGCTGCATACCGTATACTCCACTCCTGGGGTCGCCTGAACCAATACGGGTGCCTGGGTCAAACACTCCTTCAGTTTCTCGAAGCTCTGCTGACAAGCCTCGGTCCAGTCAAACTTCACGTCCTTCTTCATTAACTTGTGCAAGGGTGAAGCTATCCTCGAGAAGTCTTTCACGAATCGGCGGTAGTATCCTGCCAACCCGAGGAAAATCCTCACCTCTCGAGCATTGCGTGGAATCTTCCACTCCGTGATCGCCGAGATCTTACACGGGTCCACCTTCACTCCTTCAGCCGAGATGACGTGGCCGAGGAAGGTGAACTCGTGCAACCAAAACTCACATTTAGACAGCTTGGCATAAAGTTTCTGCTCTCGTAGGATGCTGAGTACCGTGCGCAGGTGCTCCGCGTGCTCCTCATGCGTCTTGGAGTACACCAGGATATCGTCGATGAAAACAACCACGAACTGATCAAGGTACTTACGAAACACGCTGTTCATCAGATCCATGAAGACAGCCGGTGCGTTGGTCAACCCAAAAGGCATCACCGTGAACTCGTAGTGACCATAACGTGTGCGGAACGCTGTCTTAGGAATATCCTCCTTCTTGACCGGGATCTGATGGTACCCTGATCGCAGATCAATCTTAGAGAAGACTTTGGCTCCTCTCAACTGGTCGAACAAGTCATCAATGCACAGTCTCATCGAACCGTCCTTCTTGCGGACGAACAGGACTGGTGCGCCCCAAGGAGACACACTAGGACGTATGAAACCCTTATCCAAGAGCTCCTGTAGTTGAGCTTTCAGCTCCTTCATCTCTGCCGGGGCCATGCGATAAGGTGTGATGGAGATGGGTCCCGTTCCCGGAACCAAGTCGATAGAGAATTCTACCTCCCTCGGGGGTGGTAGTCCTGGCAGCTCGTCTGGAAATACGTCTGGGAACTCGCACACCGTGGGGATTTCCTCCCGTCCGGGTGCCTCTAGCTGCGTGCCGCGGACAGTGCATAAAAAGGCCTCGCATTTCTTGCATATGAGGTGACGAGATTGCATATATGAGATAAATTTGGGAGCCTTCAGGAAAAGCTCGCCACGGATCAGAACGCCATTACCATCTTCGGCTTTCAGCCGTACCGTATGTGCGCCACAATCAACAATGGCTTGATTGGCTGTAAGCCAATCCATGCCCAGGATAACATCGAATTCTCGATGTGGGAGCTCTATCAGATTTGCAGGGAATCTCTTCCCTTGCACAACTAGCGGACAGTCAGGATAGATATATTTGAGACATAGACTGTGTCCCAACGGATTGGACACAATCACCGGATTCTCCAGGTTCTCTCTCGGAATATTAAACGATTCACGCATAGATGTACAAAGATATGACAATGTGGAACCTGGGTCAATCAAAGAAGATATGGATGTATCTAATAAGGTGAACATACCCATAATCACATCATGAGCAGGCTGCTCAGTGCGTCAATGCATCGCATAAGTACGAGCTGGAGCCTTCCCGGACTGAGTGCTCTGTGCCGGCCTTTTCGGTTGATTGGACACCGCTACCGACTTCTGACTCGGTGCAGGCTGGGCTGTTGGAGCTGAGGCTGCGGCTGCGGGCGTTGTCGGGAACGCCTCACCAGGGTTCGTCGGGCAGTTCCTGCGGTAATGCCCGCCCTGTCCACACCCAAGGCATAGGCCCTGAGTGAACCAGAACTCGCCGGAGTGCCTCCGGCCGTAGAGGTTGCAGATCGAGTTCCGATATCCGCCCTGACTCTGGCTCTTCCCACTCTTCTGAGTGGGTGCTGACGACGCGGCTGGTGCAGACCTAACCTTCTTGCTCGAGTGCGAGCTGCTCGGTATGTGAGGAGGCCTCTTGCTGCTCGAGCCGAATCTGGAAGGCGATGGCGGTCGAGGATGCGTCGTCTAAGACTGCTCATACTCAGCCTTCCTGAGTAAGGCCGTCTGTAACTCCAACGCCTGCTTGTACAAGTCGTTGATGTCATTCCTCGGTGCGGAGACCAGTCCGGAGGACAAATCAGGGCGTAACCCCTCCCTGAAGCGCTTGCACCTCTTCTCCATTGTCGGCACCAAGTCCCGACCAAACTCGGCCAGCTCATCGAACTTCTGGCGATACTCTGGCAGCGTAAGTTCACCCTGCGTGAACTTCATGAACTCGTAACGCTTCTCCTCCATGAAGTGCTCGGGCACATACTCCTCACAGAAGAGCTCGTCGAAGGTCGCCCACGGCACCGGCTCCGGGATGTTCGCTCCTGCGCGTTTCCACCAGTCGTAGGCGGCATCCTGAAGTAAGGCCATAGCTAGGTCGCCTCTCTGCTCTGCTAGAACTCGTAAGGTCCCGAGTACTCGACTCACACGCTCGAGCCAGCGCTTCGTGACCATGGGTTCCGCAATCTGGTCGCCACAGAACTCCTCGGCTCCGTTCTTCTTCAGCTTCTCAATCGTGACCACGACCATAGGAGGCGGCGGTGGCGGTGGTGGTACATACGCCCCGGCCATCTGCTGGAGGAACTGGAGCATGTTGGCCGCCATCTACGGCTGCAGATAAGGAACCGCCTGAGGTACGGCATTCAGTTGCGGAACTAGCGGCTCCAGAACTTCGTGCTGTGGTGTAAAGCTAGACGCCTCGGTATGCACACTCACGTGCTCCTGTTCTCCCTGAGGACCAACTTGTCCATGCTCGGGAGCTTGACTCATCTCCTTTCTGGAAGGAGATTTCCTATCAGGTTAAGTAATAATAATAATAATAACTCAGATGATACGGTTACCTTTCCCGGTGGAGATACGAAGCGGGATGCGACAGTGGGTTCTGAAGAGAATATTGTTTTTTCCAAAATGGGTTTCAAAAGTTTTTTTTAGAACCGTAATGGGCTCTGATACCAAAATGTAACACCCTCCGTCCCGCGAACCCGGTTCACCGCGGTCCAACATGCCGGAGAGGTTACGTAGACGGTTTAAGGCCGTCTACAAGGAAAAACCCCTTGCGTGGCTTGTAACGGAAAACCCTTGACATGCTTTATTAAACGATGAGGATGGATTCACTTAAAAGAAGTTTATTGCGGAAGTAAATGTAAGTAAAACTGTTAGGTCATAATTAACGTAAATGCGACAAAAGGTGGGTTCATGCCCAAAACATTTTCATAAATTAAATAAGTAATTCATCTGGCCCGCACTGTCGTTCATCCGCAGCTCCTATCACATAGTCATCCGGGTCAGGCTCCATGGTTCTCTTGCCTACCTGCGTATAGCAAAGGGAAAACAAGGCTATACACTCAGCAAAAGCTGAGTGGTAATCTAACAGTAGAACGCATAGCACATTCACATTGATATAGACATGATCGTACCTGAACTAAGTACGGGATACCACGTACAAGTTTAACGGATAAGAGTTACAAATAACAATGATGTCATGTCAAATAAACATGATGCATGAGTTAGACTGCGCAGGGACCCCCTGCCCTTCGGTGATCATCCCCACGCGGTAGATGAGCCGAGGAATGCCTTAGTCACCCCAATGGAGACTAGAATGTGGGTGATAGCTAAGCCTAGCTACCATGTACGTACACAAGCCCTCGTGATGAAAACCCATTGGATCCCGCAGGTTCCTGGACGGGCCCACGGAAGAGGCGCACTCGGCCTGACCCCTTGCCGTGGTATGCAACGTATGCCATGGTCCTAAACATGCGTCTAGGATATACATGATGGTATGAATGCTTCGGTTGGAGAGTGAGGTTATATTCAACACATGCAAATATATTTGATTCCATATATAAACTACTTGTTCAACATGGCGGACCTGGGTTCAGAGCTGGCTGATAATGGATTAACCACATCTGATAATCGATTATCATGTTACGCAGTTCCTGTTCCCAAGTTCCGCAAGCCATGATAATCGATTGTCTCCTCATGACAATCGATTGTCAAAGTATTTGCTCAGGACACCCAAGTCCAGAGGGGCCTGATAATCGATTTTAGCTATGTGATAATCGATTATCAAAAGAACCAGCCCAGACTTGAGATTCCGCAGGACCCAATAATCGATTATTAGCAAGGTTATAATCGATTATCACGTCTTGCTAAAAAAAACTAAGAAGTCCAGCGCGACCTAATAATCAATTGTCAGATTCTGTAAATAGATTATTAAGGCACGCTGGTTCCTATTTTTGCCTGTTGGATTTTCATTAAGACGTTGAGAGTTTTAGAAATGAACGTTTATGTTTCCAGCTTAAGTTTTGATGAGTTTGCAACGTTTTGTAACGTTTATACTAACAAGTGTGTAATCGAAAGGCCTAATAAACGAAAAGTCATGACGATGTGGATGCACGTAGGTTTAGCCGGTAATCCTATGAATATAACGATATGATTATACTACGAATTCTAAATTTAGAGGGCAACGTACTCACCTCTAAACGCAGAGATTTACAATAACGGTAACGGATGAACGAACGGCTAACAAACGGACAACGAACAAATGAACGAACGAACAGCTTCTCGTGTGAACTTTTCCTCTTCAACCTTCCCGTCAATTCGCACGAATCACCTCCTTGAGCTACTATGGTCTGGCCGAAAATGCAAGGGGAAGAGGGAGAGGGTGTGTGAATGCCTTGGGAGTTACAAAATGCTAGGGAAAGGGATTGGAATGGGTTTAAATTGAAAGAGAAGAGTAATGGGGATTTATGAGAGATAAATAGAGAAAATAATGATGGGGGGTTATGGAAAATGAGGAGTGTAGTGGCCTGTGGTTTGAATGGGAGTTATCTCCCTAAATTCCACTCCGTTGTATAAAATCTTACCTGATCGGTACGGGGTATTTTCCCCGAACGGGTCCGAATTGAGATCCGTTTACGTTTCTGGAATCACACAGTCAAAACGAATATTATGACATAATCAAATAATTTTTCTAAGGATTTTATTTTCCAAACCCCGGTTCGAGTTAGTAATTAATTAATTAGATTAATCAATTCTAATAGACCGGGTCGCAGGGCGTTACATAATCACCCGGTTCGGGTCTCCCCGAAACATTGTGATGGATAACGGGCCTCAATTTCGGAATCCAAGGTTCACCAAATACTTGGAGGACTTCGGGATTACTCACAACAACGCTTCCGTGGCCTACCCGCAAGGGAATGGTCAGGTGGAAAATGCAAACCGCACAATAGTCGATGGCATCAAGAAGCGACTGGGAGAGGCTTGAACGAATTGGTTGGAAGAATTGCCACATATCATCTGGGCTTACCTGGTCACTTCGAGAAGGGCCACCGGGGAGACACCTTTCGTCCTTACATATGGGTGTGAGGCGAGACTACCCATCGAAGCGAAAATAATGACCTTCTGGGAAAAGATCTATGAGGAGAAAGGGAATGAGGAAGACCATTTGGCAGAGCTAAACTTGCTAGAAGAAAGGCATCGGTCGCTGAGACTAAAATGATAGAATACCAGCAAGCAGCCAATGCCTACCATGATAACAAGGTAGGGCCTCGTTATTTCCAAGTGGGTGACGAGGTCCTGAGACGGAGGGAGGCCATCAAACCAGGAGACAGGGGAAAGCTTGCGACGAAATGGGAAGGTCCATAGAGGGTCACGACAATATTACGCCCTGGGACGTACAAGTTAGAAACGATGGAAGGTAGAGAATTGGAAAGGTGTTGGAATTCCCACCACCTTAGAAAATTCTACCGATAGACCAAAATTGGCAGGGCATGTATTTATACCACCCCCTTCGATGATAAATAAAAGCTTTCTTCAATACTTGTGCTACTGGGTCAGTGATGCTAAAATAACTTGTCTTGATGTAAGAGGCAAGGTAAAAAAAGATAGACCCTTGAGATGGAGGCCTCGATGTTGAGGTATAGCCTTGAGATAGGCTGGGTCTGGAAGAGGACTCGCGTCCATACTTACATGGATCCCTACCAAATTTTCGTTTGGATAGGGGCGAAAAGATGCCAAAATAAAAAAGGTTTACCGTCTTGCATGAGCCATCCTTCGCGGATTGAAGGGTCTAGGGAAAACTAGAATTCACTTCAAACGCATAACATATGGACATGTAAGATTGGATGAGGGCTGGTTCTCACCGGCATACCCACATGAGGGAAGATTGGGTTGGCTAGGTCAACCTAATGATTAGAAAATGGCACATTAAAAGACTTAAAACCTGGAAGAGGGGCCCTGGAAGAAGGGTGTTGCCTGGAAGAGGGCTGAACCTTGGAGAGGGTTCGCGACCATAGGACATGATCAAAATCTTCGAAAAAAAGTCGGGTCTTGATGTTGAGACTTAAGATAAAAACCGTTTCGGAATATTCGTTCGAAGCTTGGTTGAGGTCGGTGTTGAACGCGATAGACAGGCCAGATGGGATATGAAAAGGGCATGGTCAAAAAATGACCGGTCACTTTTTGATATTTTAGATTGGCAAGAAAAGGCGAATGGGAAAAAATTAAAATTTGACTGGTCAACTTTGAGAAAAGTAACCAGTCACCTTTTAAAGGTTGGATTTGAGGAAATCAGGCAAATCTGGAAAACTCCCATTTTGACCGGTCACATTTTTTGACCTGACACCTGGACAGAAATTTGAGACAATATTGGTTACGTAGCGCAACCAAACCATGGAAAGTGGACCAGGACAAATTCCACCTAGACATTTATTACATTTCAACCTGGAAGTGACCTGGATATTTTCAAGTTTAGAGACCAGGACATGAAGTGACCTGGACATTTTCAAGACTTGTATTCAACCAGGACATGAGATGACCTGGACATCTTCAAGATTAAAAGACCTAGACGTTTTCAAAATTACAACCAGGCCAACCAGACCTAGATATTTTCAAGATGTTATCTCATCATGCCTAGGCCGATTACTTCTATCAACCAAGCCAATTAGACCTGGATGTTTTAAAGACCAGGACATGAGATGACCTGGACAATCTTTAAACGATTCTTAATGTGATATTGACTTGGAAGTTCAACCCAGCATGATAAAATAAGGGCAAGTCTGACCGTGCAACTTCAAGAACAGGATCAAGCAAGGAAAACAACCGTGCAAGAAATCAAACAATGATCAGGCGAGGGAAATAAGTTCAACCAGGCTACTTGAAAGTTAGATCGAGCATGACCGGCTATCTTTTTTTGACTTGGAAGTTAAATCAAGCATGTTCAAGAAAAGGAGGGTATAAACAAGCAACTTCAAAAATATGACCGTGCAATAGTGCAAACAACCATGCAAAGAAGACAAACATGCAAGAAAAGGAATTCAGCCATGCAACTTGAAGTAAATATGATCGGCAATCTTTTAAAGGCAAACCAAGAAAACTTAATGTTACACAGGTTAAATATTAGGCCGGACATCCTCCAGGCCTTGGGAAAAATCAGAGTTTTACATCAAACCCTAACCTATTGCAAGGGGAAAGGGGGGGTTGGCTCTTCCTTGTAGAGGACTAGAAGCTTCATCTTGCCCAGGTCAAAGGAAGGGTCCCTCTTCTGAAGTCTAGCATAGAGAAGAGACCTCTCGTCCTTCTGGCCACACTGGAAGCCGTATGAACCAATCTTGGTTATCATTCTCTTGCCTTCCGGTTCTTTATACATGGTCTTGAAGAAGTCCATGGTTTCTTCCGGTGTAGTGAGAATAGACCGGGCAACTTCCAAGTGATGGCGTGCAGCCTAGTCAGCAGCTTTAGTGGGAAAGGCCTCCTCCTTTGCCCGAGCAGATTCTTCAGCCTGGCCCAACGCTTCTGAAAGGTAACCATGCAAGGATAAGCAGCGGAAATTAAAAATTTTAACATCCTAACATGATTATCTTGCCCAGAATCACGTACTAAAACTTATAGTGAGTAAGAAATTTATACCTTTCTCCGTAAGCGGTAAAAACGAAGAAGTCGTAGAAAGAGCGTTGAAATTGCAAACGTAACCGTTCAAGCGTCCGGTCTCCAACTTTGACACACGAACAACGCCAGAGTCTACCACAATCTTTATGCTAGTAAAGATTATAATAGTATAAAATATAAAGATTAAAATTGGGATAATAATAATCTTGTATATTTCTATAGAAAATATTTCTAATAATATTTAGAAAATATTATAGATATTTTCTATACACAAAATGATATTAATGGAACCAAAATAATATTTTTCTCTCACTAAAAATACAATGGCCGAAAGTATGCTTAAGTATGCTTAAGTAATCAATTGATGATCCTCACTCTTTAAAATGGAATTGCCGTGTTA